CCCCAGCTGCGAGGTTGCCGGCCAGGGCCCCGGCTGAGCTCGGGACGTCGGGGTGGGGGAAGGCTCTCTAATATAAGACGTGAAAATACGAGGGGAAAAAACTCAGATACCTGTTTTATTAAGTTTTGGTCTCGGTATGAAACAAAAGGATTTGGGGCTTGTCACTTTAGAACCAATTTTTGAGGAAAGTCATTATAAACTTTTAAACTAGGGCACGGGCTGTTTAAGGCCCTCGACTTGCAGAGTCTGAGATCTTCCAAGGCTAGTAATCTTCTGACATCTTATCTCCAGCTTATGGTTGGACTGGCTAAAAACTGTTAGCAGCGTAGCCAAATACATATAATGTCTGTGGTGTCCTGCAGAACTGAAAATACTTTTCGTGAAGTTGGTGGACTGGCCCTGAAATCTCCTGCAAGTACAAATTGATGATATAGATCTGTGTGTTAAAGTTCTGAAAACATGTGGTTTGTCATGCAGGAGGGGGAAATAAGGTGGGTAAAGCTGTATAGCTCTTGCAGTTGGAGTTCTCTATGCCTTTCTTAGTTTACCAAAGTGACATATCTCTTACAGTTTTGGTTGCTTTGCACCGATATTTTTCCTTTAATTTGGGATCATTTACTGTATACAAAACAGAAGAAAAGACAGGTTGAGTATGTAAGGAAACTGGGTAGAAGCAAGTTCTATCCAATGCACTGGGAAAGCAAGCTTGAAAAATAGCTGTCAATTTTATCCTCCTTCCCACAATCCTTACCTTCAAGAAATTTGTAGGAGCTAATTGTAGTGCTAGTGTATCCAGAGAAAGGTAACCAGATAGAAGAGTATCTTTTATTATTATGTAAAGTTGACATTGTAAGCAATAGTATAACATGCATGCCCCAGCAGTTAGAGACTACTTTTCCTACATACTTCCTATTCCTCATTTCTTCCCCAACTCCCCCAGCGTGCCCAACCCATTTACAGGACTGCGAACCTGTTTTGCTGCTAGGTAAATATATTTAGAGGGTGAGAAAGGGAACTTTCTTCAAAGATTACTGGTGGAGGTCGTTATGTTTGCTAACACATCAAAGATTATGATTTTGGGAGAGGGACATTGTGTAATAGCCACCTATTAGCATTTGGATTATTCTATGTCTGCATATTTTAAGGTACGGTATATTTGAGTGTATTTAGTTCTTGTGATGGTGGACACATTTTTGCTAATCTTGCTTGGACTGGACTAAAGCAGAGGTCAGCATGAATAGATAACCTTCTGTTGCCCAACTGTCCTGCCCAGTCAGGGCCTTGATTATTGTACTAACAGATCTCTGTTGTGTTTGGTGAGTGTTGTTGAATCATTGTAAGTTGCCAACATGAATGTGGTTTCTTTTATTTACATGTGACACCCCCCACCCCCAACTTTATTCTGTTTAGGCTAAGCTCTTTTTTACGCAAGTGAAAAAATCAGTTTTCTTTACATATACTTAAGTTTAATTAAGCTTATGCTTTATATAAGGCTATGAGTTCAGTTTCAAAAATGTTAGCTTAATTATCAAGCTCTGTGCCGTAGTAAATATGCTAGGAAATGTGGGAAGAACATTACTTGCAGCCTGAGGAATTCAGGCCAAACTTCATTATCTACGCAAACTGTTATGGATGAAAGAAGCTGCAGTGTTTTAATCGTAATAAAAAATGCTAGTTAACTGTGGGTAAAATTAATTCAGTTTGAGAGAAATGTAAAATTAACTTTACGAAACTGGTAATTCTGTCAGCTGTTGTCTTCTTTTTTTCTTTTCTCCGTGTCATACTTCAAATAATCCCCTGCTGCCTTTTACTAAATTCATTTGCTATGCCATCTTATTTATGCAATGGTCTTTTTAATGGAGTCTTGAGGTATCGTACCATTTATAAACCAGTCAACACAGGCATAGGTTGTGTGTAAATGACGTCTGCTCTTGGTACTGGGGAAGTCTATGGTGCATCTTTTTTCTAAATAGGGAGGAACTGGTGTATTCTACAACTACTTGATAAAAATTAAACTGCAGCTATTTCTACAATTTCTGCTGTAGTGTTACTGCAGTAGTGTTTCTGTTAATTACTTACGCTTTAAATTTTTTGTTTGGTGAGACAGAAGAATAAACTTAACTATGGGAATGATGCTCTTGTTTTCTTTTACTTGAGGTCTTTATTGTTTTGAATATGTTAAACTCTTGAGAACTTAAGTAAATCACTACTGAAAATTGCTGTCATTCTTATGTAGGAAATATTGGTATTCTAATTGTTTTAATTGTTCTAATTTTAATCTTTTTTTCTTCCTTTCCCAGTAATATACCTTTCACTGGACTAACACTGTGCAGTTTTGGACTGCAAAATATCTTCATGACTTTGTAGAAATGAGAAGTAACATAGGTTCAAATAGGGCATAAACACAAGAGGCGTGGAAGAAAAAGAATAAAACCAGTTCCCAGTGGTGTTTTTTGGGTTGGGGTTTTTTTCCCCCCGCCTCTGTCCACTCTCTCCTTTGACATGCACAGTGTTAATGTTGAGTAAGCAGCATTTGAATAGATTCCTTCATTCAGTGTCTTGCTTCATCAGTAGGTGTAACGGTTGTATCCTGTACTCTTAGTGCCAGTAAGCCTCAGGAGGGATTGGGAGAAATGGAGGCTTTTAAACAGAGAAGCTGTTCTGCTGTGCTTTAGAAAACTGTTTTCAAGAAAACTTGTTTTCAACTGACAGCCAGTGGATTCTATAAAAACAGTTGCTTAATAAGCATTTACACAGAGCTCTAGGTACACATGGTTCTTGGTAAATCTACTGAAATAATTCCTATCCTGAAAAATATAAAGTTGAACACAGACAGTATGTATCACAGCAGTTCATATTGGTCTAATGCTAATTGTGCGTCTGGGTCTCTCATATAAACCATTATTCTTGCCCTGTTAGGGTTGTTTTTAATGACATGCCGTGCAGCCAGCCTGGTTATGTGACCTTCTTTGATTGCCTAGGCACCTCCACATACATATCTTTGAGCTTTGTAAACAACAGAATTTGTTTAGTTAGCTTGTTAATGGGTTTCAAAAAAAAAAAAAAAATATCTCTTAAACCATGCCTTCACTTAGGAATCTAGTGGTGTGTTTGAGAAGTCTCTGGGTGTAAATGACAGATGTCTAAAATAAGTTTGTGTTTCTTAGTTTAGTAGCATCTTGGCTAGCATATTTTGAGAATGCTGGGGCAAAGAGGAGATAGTCTTGCTTCATTGTGACAGTCTTCTCTAAAGGGTTCTCTATGGATCAATAGAATCAATGTTGGGTTTTTTTTGATTTAAGCTTAGGGCAGCCTGGAATTAAGCAGTGCAGTAGACCTTACCCGGTTGGGGGTAAGGAAGCGTTTGCTGCAGCTCCATGTGTTTGTATTGGCACTGCTGTCTGGTGTTCTGACGAGCTATGGAAAGACATTGCTCGTGTCCTTGTGCTAACACAAACTATGCCATTTTTTGCACAGGAACTGGTTTGCTTCCACTGAGACACAGTTGACTGTCTGTTAACGTAGGATGCATCTAATTGCAGGCAGGCATTTATTTCCTCCATTTTAATACATAGTTTTCAGTACAAGCAAACTTGAACCATCCATCTAATATAGAAAGGTAGTTACTGTCAGCATGAGCTTCATCCTGACTTTATTATGGCCAGAAGCTCTGGAAGCAAATACTGAAGTGTAAGACTTCTGGTTTGAAACAGCTTTGCTATATTACACTTTCCTTATTTGTGTTATTGATAATGATAACTTATGTTGGGTGTTAAATGCTTGGAATTTTTTTCTTTCTTCCAGATGAAATAAAAACTGAGCTGGAAAAGCAAAGGTAAATTATTAATTGCTGTAAACTATGCATGAAAACAGCAAGTGAAATAATTTGATAGTGGAAATGTAAGAGTGTGTATACATTACGGCAGTGAGTTTGTGAATACCCAGTTACACACCTTTCTGCCAAAAACATGGCCTGTGTACTCCGATTACACAATTTTTGTGGCTATGAGTACTCAAGCCATAACTGTCTCTGAATTTCACTATGAAAAAATTGCAAAACTTCTAAAAGGTGCTAGTTTTTCACTTCCTTTTACTGGGCTTAATATAGCCTGCTAGGAAATCATAAAGAGCAGAAGGTATTCTCTGTTTGATAGTATATGCTCTTAACTACCTAGATCAGGAATACCAATTTAAATACTACTTAAATCCAAAATTTAAAACATTTGTCCAGCACTGTGCTATGATTTAAAATGAGCCCCCAAATGTATTTCTGTTTGCTTAGTATCCTTCATATGGGACCTGGTTAATTCAGAATAACTTTGATAAATCTATCATTTATGTTATGTAGGAGTTCCTCAGTATTTCAGGTAGTGGGACAGTGTTGGAGTGTAGCGAGGGAAGGGTTAAGTTGAAGAACATACGAAAAAGATCGAATGCAATATAAATAAAGTGGGGTTTGTGTGGATTTTTTTTTTTTAAGAAAAATGAACTTCCTTTAAGAAAGTATGCGTGACAGAAACTTGTGTTACATTTGTATGCTACTGTGTACCATTCAGCTTTAAATTTAGAGAAGGAGGAAATGCAGTTTGCTGTGATATACATGTTTAGAAAAATGAACAACTCTTCTTATCTGACCTAGGGAAGGCACTGCTACTCCACCAAAAGCAAACTTCATTGAAGCAGATAAATACTTCCTTCCATTTGAACTGGCCTGCCAGTCAAAGTCTCCACGCATTGTCAGTACTTCACTGGATTGTTTACAGGTAAGTGGTCTTTTTATACTTGGACAGAGTGAAATGGAGACGTATACAGTTACAAAAAACCTGTGTGCTGTTGGTATTCTCAGAGCGAAGAAGTAATGCTGTCCTGAGTACATAAGCTGTGCGGATACCCACTAGGGCTACTTAGACGTATAAACCATGCAAAATAGGTTATCATCAGACTTGGTTGAAAGTGTATCTTGTCAAAGTCAGAAATGTGTGTGGTGTTTTATAGTGAAGCAGACCTTTATTGAAGCTCATGCATGCTTACGTTATTCATAAAGATGTTTCATCTGTGGTGCTCTAAAAGGAATATTTACCATGGTGTTTCTTGTAGTGCTGATGTGATGGGAGGTCAGACTCTGGAATCTTTCTACCTTGTCCCTCCTTAGATTCTTACAGAAAAAACAAATGCAACTTAATCTCAGCTAACTATTTGGGCAGAACCTCTCTGTTGTGAATAGGTACAAAGATTGATGATAAAAACTTTTATCTGGTTATGATAGGAAGAAATGGTCTGCGTGGAAGAAGCTTGTGTATCACTTACTAAGTCTGTTTTGTCTAGAAGTGTGAAGAGTCGAAGTATTTGGTAGCCAGACTATTGATGGTGTTAAATTTTTGTATTAAAACTGGTTAAGTAAGGTATGCTGTCTAAAGCCCCCTTTTTATGCTGTACTTAACTGTATTTTACTTAACAGTATATGGTGGTCTAATCTGCATTCTTTCTACCTAGAAACTCATTGCATATGGACATATCACTGGCAATGCTCCAGACAGTGGAGCTCCTGGCAAACGACTGATTGACCGAATAGTTGAAACCATTTGCAATTGCTTTCAGGGTCCTCAAACAGATGAAGGAGTACAACTGCAGATAATTAAGGTATTTTATTTGGTGCAATATTAATTTGCTTTCTCTGTCTTTGGTTTTGTAGCTGAAAAAAAATTAATGCAAAGCACTACTTAGGGCCCAGTTTCTCCATTGCTTACGTTGATAGATGTGTCATTGAATTCAGGGAGGCTGTCACCAGGTCAGAATTAGTATGTGAAATGTATTTCCTCTTGCTGAAGCAGAACGTAAGGAAATACTTTATAAATGTTTGTCTGTCTTTCTGGGATGAGCCATGGCCTGGATATTTCATCTTGCAAACAGCTTGATGTTCATCTTCTAGGCCCCCAACTGAATGCACTGTAACTGATGCAGTATCATGGGCTGCTGCTCTAGCCTGTCTGCTCTCATGTCCATTTTTCCAGAAAGATCTGCAGTGTATGTTCTCAACAAGGCACAGTAGTAGTACCAGTGGTGTGTTTGTTCTCGTTCTGAAATCTACTTGGGCTAACATAGCTGAGGTTAGAAGTTGGTGAACCTTCTAGTAATCTAATTCGATGGTAGTGTAGACCAATTGGCCCTTTCACAGAAATGAAGCTATAGAATATAATGATAACTATTTTATTTAGAGGTGGAATATCAAACTTACTGGAAAACTAGTTGTGATAGAACACGTTAACAGCTCAGGAGAGAACAGAGATACGTGGAAGTTCTGTTAAACTTTCTTCGATTTGAAATGTCATTTCAGAGAGCTAGAAGTTCCTTATAAAGTCTTAGATATATGTGTTTCATAAGAAACTTACTGATAATTATGGAAGACCTGCATGAAGTGTATTGCTGCCTGCTTGCTTAGATTTAATTTTTACCGTGTTACGGACTTTTTCAGGCTCTCCTCACTGCAGTAACATCTCCGTATATAGAAATTCATGAAGGAACAATTCTTCAGACTGTTAGAACCTGTTACAACATCTATCTGGCCAGTAAAAATCTTATTAATCAGACAACTGCCAAAGCTACCCTTACGCAGATGTTAAATGTCATTTTTACACGGATGGAAAATCAAGCTGTATGTAACTATTACTTTTGCTCATCTCGAATGTTTAGGCTTGACAAATGAATAGAAAACTTTTTTTGTTACTATTTTTGAGTCTGTCATTGTAGTTGGACATCTATGGATTTGTAATTTTAAAAAACCCTGTCAAATCCTGCAGTGAAGCATACTGCCTGATTAAAAATAAAATATGAAACTTACTGCTGATAACAAGGTTTCACACCGTAGTTTCTGCCAAATGGCTTTGTATAAACAAGTGATGGGATGCTTTTAAAATAAGATTGAAGTACATATTTTTAATTTGACTGGCCAACTGATTATATTTTCATTGTTTCTTTCTTGTTAACACGTGAATTCACAAAGGAGCATCAGTCATCATAGACATCTGTTTGTCCTTCTGTTTTTTGCCTTATATTAACTTTTTCATATTGTTTTTTTCAAGATACAAGAATCCAGAGAAATAGAAAAAATTAATCAGCAAAAATCCCAGTCTCCTGCAATTCAAGCGGTGTCCAGGTCTCCAAAGATTGGTCAGTTAAAGCACAGCTATCAGGAAGGGAAACCTGCCATTCCTGTAAGTGTGGAATTAACGAATGGTGAGCCTGAGAAGGTAGAGAATGGAGACATGAAGTTGGAGCGGGATCTGCCTCTTTCAGCATCAGGTGAACAAGAATAGGTTGGGTCTTTTGCTTTCAGTTACTATTGGAAAGTGCTCTTTTAGGCTATTTTGGGGAGAAGTGACTGGGGTTGTTGGCTCAAATCACACTTGGTGTTTCTCAGTAGTCTTTCAGAATATACAGGCCATCCTTAGCTCATGTCTATAACAATATAACCATTGAAGAAAGGATCACAGTTTCCCTAGAAGTCTAGTAAAACTACATATTCCGTATAGATAAGCCATTATAATGGAATTTGACTTGATTAGATTGATAAAGGGGAAGGAAATGAAGAGAATAGTCACAGTATGTGGGAAGTGACAAAATCACTTTGAGGTAATTGAAGTCCTGTGGTAAAAATAATGTGTATTATGAAGACCTTATCATAAGCATATACTGTATCTAAATTAGGAATGTAGGATATTCCAAAACTAAGAGTTTATAACAGTTGATAAATGCAAATGACAAAATCACTGCATTAAAACTATCAGTGCTTTGATTTAAACAATGGAAATAACATCAAAGAGTGTTTTTGTATGACTTCTTGGAAATGGCTTTAGAGGAGAGCTACTAAAGAATATCTATAATTTTTAATCCTTCTGCCTCTTTCATGTTTTTCCTTTTAATCTTCTAAGCAAAAGTACTAAATTCAGAATTATCTCTTTGTGTGTTTCATTAGAGGAAACAACTGATGGAGGAAAGGAAATGGTTAAATGCATCTTGGAAGATGTGGTCAAGTCAGCTGTGAAAGGTAGCAAAGTCTTCTAAAGTAAAATAGATGCATGTGTATTGCCAGACTTTTATTCCTGTGATTATAAAAGCATGGAAGTTATCTTTTGTTACGAAGTATCTTGTCAAGAACACCTACTAAGGCAGTAAGAACAGGTTTTTATTGTCTCACAGTATGCTTTTGCTGGTAGCTGAGAAACTTTCTAGTTTACAAGTGCTGCTTCTGTCCCACTTCGTTGTAGAGCTTCACAAAGTCATGAAGTAAAAAAGCTCAATGGGTGATTTTAATCAGTTTTCCTTTTTCCCCTTTAGTGGCTGAAGAAAAGCAGGTAACAGACAGAGCTGAGGCTTTACCTGCATTAGAGATGGCAGATATTGTTCTTCCTGGCTCTAATAGTGAAAATGTACAAACAAATGGGATTCCAGATGATGGGCAGTCTGTTTCCTCCACTGATAATCTGGTAAATAACTTCACTGGATGCTAATGTATATTTAGGAAAGGAGAAGCGTTTTTATCATGCCAACTAATACAGTGGGATTTGGGGAGGGAAAGGACAGAAGTTTTAATGTATGTATCCTGCTCAAGTTCGAAAAGGAAGCAGCAACTGCAATTTAAGCAGATATTGAAAACAACTGTTCTAAAACTGGTTATGTTAGTTGAATACAGGGTGGGGGCAGAGGGGAAAAGTCAGTCAACATGTGTGAAAAGATCCAGGTCACCTGTAGTCCTGTTTAATTTTAGTTTAAACTTTACCAAATATACCATTTTTAAAAAATTTGTAGGTAATTCTCAGAGGAGCTGTGGAATCTTCCAGATTGCTCTGTTCCTTTGTCTCACTGAGGATCTGATGTTGTGTTTCTTGCTTTCAAGGAAACAGACGTATCTGGACATCAGGCTACTGCCAGATTTTCCCATGTTCTACAAAAGGATGCCTTCCTTGTGTTCAGGTCGTTGTGCAAGCTCTCCATGAAACCACTTGGTGATGGACCACCAGATCCCAAGTAATGAGACTGTATTTATTGTACTGTCCTTCTCAGGTAGCTTTTGGAGACAGTTAAGTAGCTGATGTGTAGTAAAGCAGGTATTCAGAATTCACCTGTCAGGGCCTTGATTTAGTTAGCTTGATGAATCTAGGATTGAAACTTGCTTCAAATTATTAAAAATTCAATACTTGAGGGTTTTTTTTGTGTAATGGGCTTATTAATCTTATCAGCTGAAGTGGCCTTGTCTATATAGTATTTGTGAAGCTTTTGATGCGGGAGTGAGGGAACACTTCTTAGTAGCACTGAGTTGGATCTATTATCCTAGTCTAAGATGTTAATGCTCCTGGAAGATCTCCAAATTAAGATGGTAGATGTTGTCCAAAATCACTTGCAGGCTGATTTCTACCCCTCCTGCCCCCAACGTTGAAAAGAATCAAAATAGCAGTCACTTCTTCTTGACATGGAAGAAATGCTGTAGTGCTCATGTTGAATACAAATATGTATTCAGAAATACAATAAAAATTTATTTAACGTTGAATTTTTTTCTAGATCTCATGAATTGCGTTCTAAGGTAGTGTCTCTCCAGCTTCTTCTCTCAGTACTGCAGAATGCTGGTCCAGTTTTCAGGACACACGAAATGTTCATCAATGCAATCAAGCAATATCTTTGTGTAGCATTATCTAAAAATGGAGTCTCTTCTGTTCCTGATGTATTTGAGCTCTCTCTTGCCATCTTCCTCACGCTGCTTTCGAATTTTAAGACCCATTTAAAAATGCAGATTGAGGTGAGAGACTTTTTCTCTGTAATTTGTATGATGCTCTTGTTCTCAAAGAAAAATACTGCAATGATAAAAGGCAACTGAAACTTAGAAGTCAATGTCTTAGTTTTGTTTGCTTGCTGAACTAGTATATTACTATTGTATTCAAATCCTAATATGCATGAGATTATACTCTTCAAGAGAAATTATTGAATAGAAATGAATTTGTGCATTTGACATGGCTCTAATAAGTTTCAGAACATCAAGTCCTTTACCTCATTTATTTTGCAGGTGTTCTTCAAAGAGATCTTCCTGAATATTCTAGAGACTTCTTCAAGCTCCTTTGAACACAAATGGATGGTGATTCAGACTTTAACTAGAATTTGTGCAGGTATTTCCATTGTTGTAAAAAGCAGTCAGTTCCTCTGGCAGCACGTGAAAATTATTTTGAAGGCAAATGCCACATATAATATTTAAGTGCGAAAAATTGAATTTGATCCCATACTGCTACTTGAGTTAAATGTCTGGATACATCCCACTGCCTACTCCATCCAGCTGATTCCTTTTAAAAATGGCATTACACTGAATCCTAATACTCACACTTTCTTTTGTTTTCAAGATGCCCAGTGTGTAGTGGATATTTATGTTAACTATGACTGCGATTTAAACGCTGCTAATATATTCGAACGCCTTGTAAATGATTTGTCCAAAATCGCACAGGGACGAAGTGGGCATGAGTTGGGAATGACACCTTTACAGGTAAGAAAAACAGCTTTGAAGATAAGATACTATTTTTTTCATAAATGGTGCTGTCTCTGCATCGTTATTGATACTTCCAGTGGTTTATGTTGTCTGTAACCTACTGATGTTACTTACTTTTTAAAATTAGCTAATTTGCAATTGAATGCTGAAGCAGCATGAATAATTTACTTGATGATTTTGCTGCATACTTGCATTGTGAGACTAGGCTTGTTCTGGGCCCTTTTGTTGGACTGCCATGGGAGAGAATTGAATGAGCCTTCCTCTCCCTTACCTGAATAACTTCCCTTCCGGGGCTTATGAACAAGCAGTACCTTCACCTGTGTTTGCTTGGCACAAACTTTTTGTGCTATATCTCCACCACAAGAGTTTTATTTTTAAAATTACACTTTCCTAGCCCTTAGAGGGAGGGTGGTGTATAGACTGCTTTCAGCAAGAATGTTGGCCTTGTCCTACAGCACTGTAGGTGCTTTCCTCCAGCCTAAATAGCTTTCAGGATTGAAGAGAACTTAGTGCCAGGGTTGGTCTCAGAACTGAGTGCACCTCACATCTTCAATTAGAATTGATTCAATGCTTGCTTGAATGGAAGTAAAAACCAGGACACCTTTGTTTCAGATTTTGAATAGAACTGTTTACTGTACAGCAAAGGTAGTGAAATGCTTGTCTTGCTTGTGGAGAGATCTGACACTATGGAGACCTAGTGGATGGTCATAATCATTCATGTGACAAAGGGGAGGCATTTAGGATTTTGTTTAAGGTCTATATTGCCCCTTGGTTGTACTCATCAGTTACTATCAATAGACCATCTGCTTAAAGCCACTGGAATGTGTTCTGGTGTCAGTCTGGTTATGGTTGCTTTTGGCCTGGATGTATCCAACCTAAGTAGTCAAGGGGCAGAAACTTTCTATAACCAATAGATTTCCACCTAACTGACAAACTTTCTAAGATTTCAGTGGTGTGTGATGTAAGGCCTTCTAGAACTTGTGGATATACATTGGTTTGGGTTTTTTGGTTTTGGTGGGTTTTTTTGGTTTTGTGTGTGTGTGTGTTTTTGTGTTGTTTTGTTGGTGGTTGTTTGGTTTTGGTTTTTTTTTTTTTCTTTTTAGGAACTAAGCCTGAGGAAAAAAGGACTTGAATGTTTGGTTTCTATTTTAAAATGTATGGTAGAATGGAGCAAAGACCTTTATGTGAACCCTAATCATCAGGCTAGCTTAGGTAAGATTATTTCCTTATTAAACAAATTAGTCTCTCCATAACTTTGTCCTTGTGTTTATTCAGTGTTTAGAAACTATTCGGAGATGTAGATGCTAGGTTTTTACATAATGATTTGTTTATACAACTGAAGTATTTTACAAACAATTGTTAATGCTGTTGCAGTAACTGACTTCCCAAGTGTCTGGTTCAAATAACCAGGTTCTATTTAAGAGCTTTAGTCAGGCCATTGTCTACACTATAAAAGCTGGCTTATGTAGAACAAGACACATGACAAATCTTGCAGTTACTAAGTTGAAGTGCCAGAATTTCTCCATAGCTGCTGTTTCTCTTCTGCCTTTTGTTGGATTATTTTAGAATTGCGTCAATACAGCATCCTCATGTAGTGTAGACTGCCAAGAAATATACATAGTAAAATAAGAATATTGACTCATAAATTTCTACTAAAAAGTTCTAGACCTAAAAGCTTTTGACTGAACAGAGTAACTTAAGTCTCGCCCTGTTTATAAATAGGTTCATATAAACCATCTGAACAGGAAATGGCTGAAGGTAAATGCCTTGAGAGTGGAGGGAGACGGAGTAGTGTCAGTTCTTTGGACTCCACTGTATCCTCAGGAGTTGGAAGTGTTGGTACCCAGACTGCTGTCCCAGATGATCCTGAGCAATTTGAAGTCATCAAGCAACAAAAGGAAATAATTGAACATGGGATAGAACTGTAAGTCCAGTATGACAGGAAGATAAAAGTTCACTAGTAAAAAAACCTATGTGTACAACCATACTTTCTTACCGTCTTACACAGTCAAATGCATGGGGATGCTTACAAATTGATCTTAAAGCTGAAGACTCTTGCGTGCTGTTGTCAAAAGCTAATGCTGGAGGCTATTGTAGTCTTAAGGAACTCAGTAAAATCTTGGGTGGAGTGAAGGGTGGTTTCACAACTTTCCTTTGTGCTGGGTCAGCCTCACAAGAGAGGAAAGTGTAGGTATACCTAGAGAGAAATTGATTTGAGCAGGCAGGCTTAATGTTATCTTATAGCTCTTACGCTGTTTGTTGTCTTTTATTGAAATAGAGTTTGGGGAAATAAGTCATTGTCCAGCTATGTTTTACTACTTTTCCATTAATTTGAAGATCTTTATGTCTGTAAATGCTATAAAAAGGTCTTGAACAGCAACATTTTTAACATTTCATGGAAAGTCTCTAATTTTTAATATTTCAAAAGGGTCAGTTTTTAAGTGGGTTTTCAAGCAATGACTTTCAAGCTTATCAGCAACTGAATATACCTTATGAGATGTAGCGTAGGGTGTGTATGGTTAATACATTTGTTGCACATTCTTTGATTTCTGTTTTTTCTAACTAGAAAAAAAGACATAGAGCTACAGCACAGAATCTTTGATTTATAAGGGCTCTGTAAAACTAAAATTTTATAGTCTGTGATATTTTTCAATTGCATGTCTCAATTTCCCTATGTTTTTGTCTGAATAGGTTTAATAAAAAACCAAAGAGAGGAATACAATACCTACAGGAGCAAGGAATGCTTGGCAGTACAGCAGAGGACATTGCACAATTTTTGCACCAAGAAGAACGCCTCTGTTCTGTAAGACTACATGCAACATAAGATAATTAATACTCTTGTCCCTATCATCTTCTCCCCTGTCTTATGATGATGTGTGTATGCACGCTCTCTTTAGTTCATGTTTCATTAATAGATAATTGAAAGCGTAAGAGTACTAATGAAGGTATTTAATACCAATGCTACTTTCTATTTACTTGCTGTCCCAGGCTTTTGAGTAAAGTAGCTGTGTTTACAATAAAGTGCTGAAGGGATTCCCCATAAATAGGCAACATGCATTTTTTGCTACATCTGCATTAGCAGTATCATCAAAGGAGTATCATGTACCGCAGTGGCAAAGCATTCTCTACTGCCTGTGAAATTGGGTGCAGTTCAGCTTTCCTTGGCTCTACAGTAATGCAGATCTTCCCTTGGGAAGTGAGGACAGCAAGAATATGCAGACTAAAGGCATTTCTAATGACGTTGGTTTCTTGTCATCTCTCTAACGGTTGCTCTGCCCGCTCAGTGAAGTATATCAGTCTTACAAAACTGACAGCTGTGCAATTCTTGTGCTATAAACTTTCTTGCAAAGCTGGCAGTTGGATTACACAGTAATAACTGTCTCTTGTGTTTTTAGACTCAAGTAGGGGAATTTCTTGGGGAAAGCAACAAGTTTAACAAGGAAGTGATGTATGCCTATGTAGACCAGCTTGATTTCTGTGGAAAAGACTTTGTCTCTGCTCTACGTATATTTCTGGAAGGTTTTCGTCTGCCAGGTGAAGCCCAGAAGATCGATAGATTAATGGAGAAGTTTGCTGCTAGATATATTGAATGCAACCAACGGTAATTCAAAACCTTTGTATTGGATAAGTGCCTGAAGAATGGCTGTATTTTTTTGTGACCCTTAGGGGCAAGGGGCAACTCGCACTCATACCAGCTCAGGAACGTCCAAAGGCTTGTGTGAGGAGAATATCTTGTTGCTAATATTGGTGCTGAACCTCTGCAACCACTAGGCAAAATGGAAACTTTGGATAGAAAGTAAACTGATGCTGGCATTTCATTAAATCCCCAATACTTGCTACAAGGAATTACTGGAAGAGGGAAGCCCTAAGTATGTTAAATTGTCCCTGTATTAGCTGTTCTGTTTTTAAACAAACGTAGATCAGTCAAATGTAAACAACAGTAATAAACAGTAGCAATTGCTAAAATTAAAAATATATGGCATAAATAGCTAATAAGATATTACACGTGTTTTTGCTTGCCCATTAGATGCTGAACAAAATATATATATGTTAGTTGACATCAAGTAGGCAGTGTTGCTATTGTTTCTAATGCAATAAACTAGCACTGAAGTTTAGCTATGTGTTCAGGCTTAATTGGTTCCCATTCCTTAGTCCAGTTGGTACATCACTGGGTGGTTTGTATAATTCTTAATGAAAGCTTGGGAGTGAAAAATAAGCTGTTCTTTAGCTTTTTGTAGGATTACCCGAAGAAGGGTAATGTATAATTTTTTGGGAATGTACTTCAAAATTCCAGTCATCACTACCTTTCAACATTGTGAAGATGCTTTTATATTTTTAACCTTTTTATTTGCTTTTTAAGACACTTGGGGCTTCATGTGTTTCTGAAGACTAATTTTAGGCTCTGTTTGCATTCAGCCAAAGAGCTTAGCTCTTCTAGGTATTTTTCTTGCATGTAGAAATAGAGCTAATGGATTGAGGAATTAGGGCTCTAAAACCCTGTTTTGTTTTCTTTCTTCCCTTAGGCAAACACTATTTGCTAGTGCTGACACTGCCTATGTTTTGGCATACTCTATTATAATGCTGACTACAGACTTGCACAGTCCACAGGTAGAAATTAAAAAAACAAACTTGTAGAAGCTCAAATTTCCATGGAACTTGCACTCAAAATCTGATATCCAACTTCCATTCTTTTTTTACAGGTAAAAAATAAAATGACAAAGGAGCAATACATTAAAATGAATCGAGGAATCAATGACAGTAAAGACCTGCCAGTAGAGTATTTATCCACAATCTATGAAGAAATAGAAGGAAAGAAAATTGCAATGAAAGAGACAAAAGAATACGCAATTACAACCAAGTGTAGTAAACCAAGTAAGAAGGAACTAGAAACTGGAAAGACCACAGTGCTCTTGAACTATTGCAGTAACTTTCACGATGGCATAGTGGAGTTCAGATCCCTTTTTGAAAACATCTTTGTGCAATACATAAATTACATTTAGAATGGCTAATATAGATATCTGGAATGAAACTGGCTCAGTTATTACTTAATACTGCTACTTCTGTGATGGAAACGTAGCTGTGTAAGTGCATCTGACACCATGGCAGAGAGGCACTGAAAGCTAGGTTTGGTGGGGTTGGTTTGTTTGTTTTAATGGAAATGTGAGGGGGAAAAATGGTAGAATAACTGAAGGCAGTGCTTACTTTGCAAGTTAACTTCTTGTTTTTATGTGCTAGACAACAGATTGGTTTTTGTTCTGGGTTGTTTTTTTTGTCTGCCTGTCAGTAGCATGTCATAGTTCAGAGGCTGGCAAGTGCCACAGTCCTTGTGATAATGTTTGAAAAAGAGAGATCAGAGAGTTTGTCATGATCTATAGTCACCTATCCTCATCTAGACCAAATGAGGACTTCTGTGTGTAGTGTACAGTAGAAACCAGTATCTCTAGCTGTACTCTGCTTTTGCTCAGAATAGCAGGTATTAATTCAAATTAGCAAATTCTGAATCTTCAGCATAGTGGGTTTTTCAGTGTTTTCCATGCTGTTTGCAGGTTTCCTAGATCAAAATAAGGGAATGAAATTAATTTGCTTGAAAATTGAAGTTGCAACCTTTAGTGTAAGGATAAAGAAACATTAAGTTATTTATCAAGTTGGTGAGGGCTGGTTTTGTTTTGAGGATGTCAGCCTAAGAAGATGAAGGATTTGCCATCCATTTTTACGGTCAGAGTGATGTAATAGAGCCTCTCTGGCTTCTAATGATTAGGTCATAACATGTGGCTTATAATAAAGGGCTGAATTAGTTATTTTATATAGAATAAAGTCTTAATTTTTGGTCTGGGTTTTAGTGCTGGAGTTCCTTGCTTGCAAGCTATGACAGCCTCCTCAATTCTAATATTCTGGAAGATTTTTATCTTTAGATTTCATTTGCAATACCTTTATGTAACATTTTGCAACGCTCAACACAAAGCCATGGAACATGTGAAAAAAGAAACCAATGCAACTGTGTGGTGTTCCCCTTAGGTGTAGCTAATGAGAAGCAGCGGAGGTTGTTGTACAATTTGGAGATGGAACAAATGGCTAAAACAGCTAAAGCCCTTATGGAGGCAGTAAGCCATGCAAAGGCTCCTTTTACTAGTGCCACTCATCTGGATCATGTCAGACCCATGTTCAAAGTGAGTGTGATGTTCTCCTTGTATCTTCATTGCTAAGAGTTTTAAGCATGGAAAAAAGTGGAAGATTACTTTGAAGAGTTAGTTAATGCAACAGGTGGACGCTTTGGATAAATTTGGTTTCAGTTACCTAATGTTTTGGGCTAAAATCCTAATACTTCTGAACTTAGTTTTTTCCTTTCTTTAGCTTGTATGGACTCCATTGTTGGCAGCTTACAGTGTTGGCTTGCAGAACTGTGATGACACAGAAGTTGCATCCCTTTGTTTGGAAGGAATACGCTGTGCAATTAGAATAGCCTGTATCTTTGGAATGCAGGTTTGTATAAGAATTAGCATGGGGCTTGCTAAGGGCACTGTAGGCTCTGGGAGGCAAATGAAGAATTGCAGACAACACGTACGTAGAAAATGAAGTGTCTCATCTACTTTCTTGAAACGGTAAAATAAAATATTACCATCTTATTTTAGTTTGTTTTAAGACCTTGATATCATCAAGCTTTTCTTCCACTCTGCTTTCCTTTTGTTGCTCACTGGCATGCTACTCTCCTTCAGCTGGAAAGTGCTCTAATAGTGCCAACTATACATAGAAGGAAAATTGCGTAGGCATGCTGGACAAGTAACTTTCTCTAGCTCTTCAGGGACTTGATTACAATGCTTGTTTCTCTGTCCTGTAGCTTGAACGAGATGCTTATGTACAGGCCCTTGCTCGTTTTTCCTTGTTGACCGCCAGTTCCAGTATTACAGAAATGAAACAGAAGAACATAGATACCATTAAGACACTTATTACAGTCGCTCATACAGATGGCAACTATCTTGGGAACTCTTGGCATGAGGTAAATCTTGATTAGTTTAAATAGTGCAACTGCGTTGTCCTTTGAAAACTTGCAGGATTTTGTTGTTCTACTGTTTCCAGTCTTTAGTTACCGCACTTAGCTCCCAGCATGTGTCAGCATCCTCTTTAAAATGTGGAACAAATGCATTATTTTGTTAGTGGGTTTTTTTTAATATATATGAATA